AGATGGCCCCTTGCGTGAAAATCGCTCCCGCAATAGGCTTACTCGTGGCAATGTATATAATGATTCAATTCCAATTTTTTTTATGAAATAGGTTAACCACGTTAGAGAATACTAATTGGAAAAGAGACGTAAAGTTAAAGTTTGAGGCGTCAAGACGTAAACAGACATTTTTTTAATAATGACTTTCATATGTTTACTCTGGTCAGACCTGGCAGCGGAATTCGCCCAAGAAGCGAGACAAAACACCGAGGCAGCAAACAAGACCGACAGTCAATCAAAAGGAAAAATCTACTTCGACTTTTACCATAGCGAGGGCGCGGCGCCGTGGTTCAGGGAGTCCAAGCTCCCCCGGCGGACTATCACGAGGGTGAACAGGATGAGGGCCAACCACACCAGTCTCGCGGAATCTTTGGAGAGGAAAAATATAATCTCGGACCCCGGCTGCAGGTGTGGCCGCGAGGAGGAGAGCCTCAATCACGTCCTGTGGAACTGCGGACTACTAGAGGCTCAGAGGAAGAAAATGATCAGGGAGCTTTGTAAGATCAAACTGTTTCCCCCGTACAACGTGGAAAGCTTGCTGGCGCGGCCGAACATCTGGGCCTGTCAGATCATTTGCAGCTTCTTCGACGAGTGCGGGATTAAAGTGTAACAAGAACCATCCGTTTCTCCTTTTCTTGGCTCATTGAATTGTTGCACTTTTTGATATACTTGTCTGTACTTGTTATACTTGTCTTGGCACACCTGTAAGGTTTTTCTGTAATTTCTAAATAAGATTATGATTAAAGTAAGTGCAATGCCTTAACGGGCGCAAGCACTATAAATATAAAAAAAATATGTTTACAAAAATCTCATCTGTATCATATTGCATCTGTATAAGGATGAAATGAAATAACCGCACAGCCGGCGCGATGTAAATGCATTCGTGCACTGCAACGACACGAGGCGAGAACTGAACATTATATTATATATTCTATGTGCACAGGAGGCAGAACTGGCGGAGCCGTGAGCACTGAATTCAGCTGCAAGAGATCGATGCGCAAGGCGGAAAGGATTTTCTTCTGATTCACATTACACCACCCTAGTTTTTGTTAATGAAAATTTTGCTTATTTTTGAGAAATAATTTACTTTACAATTACAAAGTTATAATTATCTCGTGCACTTCATTGTAATCCTCCGAGTGTCGCTTATAGGTTCAATCGAGCTCGACTCTGATATTTTTATTGTAAAATATAAATCTCGTTGGAACGCAATGCTGCTCCAATTTTTCGTCTTGTTTCGGTCGTGCGATTGTTTATTCAATTCTTATTTCTTTCTCACTGTTTCAGAGATTTCATTTCAATTACATGGACGATGCGCATCGTCTAACGAGCGTGTCATTTTTATTAAATAGTCGCAAAAAAGTCGTAAACCGTCGTAAACCGTCGTATACCGTCGCGATGAAAAGGGTATGAAAAAAAACAAATTGATCGTGCGACACGTGCTCCTGCACCCACTCGTCGTAACGACAACAACAATAACGCATTAAAAGTGAAGCAATTGAAATCCAAAGTGCCTGCAAAAATAGAATTTCTTACAACTGTACGAGACGCGAAACTTTGTTACTAAATACCCTTCGGTACACGGCACCTGTCGATTCATCGAGTATCGTCGAAATTTTATTAATAAATAACAATCGATCGACGTGGATGAATTACCCTCTGAAATAATAATAAAAAAGAAGGCTAAGGGCAAATTAACAAGCTCTCTCGCGCATGGTCTCGAAATGTCAATAACACGTAGTACGTACGCGTGTAACCGGGCAATTATTTCATTAAATTTATGAATAAAAAAGTCAAGGGTGATTATCGAATCCGATATACATACACACGGATATATAATAGAAATGTCGTATCGTCGATAATTCTATACCAGAGAATAATTATATACCCGTTGGTGTGTGCCATACAGCGGCCCCTTTAATTACGAATAACAATTAGATGTAATTAAATTATATCGAAAAGGGCAGTCCTCTGCTGCTCTTTCGAATTTTCGCTACCCTGCAGAGAGAGAGAGAATAATTTTCTTGCCTCCCGAGCACGTGTGTGAGAGAAAGAGAGAGAGAGAGAGAGAGAGAGAGATTGGATCGAAGGGTGTGGCGCCGTGCAGCCACCACTACCACTACTACTACTACTATACGATCTGCTACTACTGACACAGTTTGGGTGGATGTGTATATAGATCGAAACGCGCTGCGTCTCGTGAATTTTGCTCACTTCTCTCTCTCTCTATCTCTGTTGCAGGAAGTTTCGTTGCTCTGCCCACACACGTACACACACACACACACACACACACACATACGTATACATACAAACACATACGTGTGATATATATAAACGAAGTGGACGGAGAGTTACACGATCGATGAAAACGGACCACGTACACGTGGGTATGTGTGTGTATATAAGTGTGCACAGTACTCGACCAGACTCTCTATCTCAGGCTTATGACTTTTTTATTCGCAGAAAAATCTCTCGAAGGAAAGAGAGAGAGAGAGAGAGGGAAAGACGACAAAAGTAAACATGGATAAAAGTTTAGACCATAAAGCATCGGCGCAGTAATAATTCGTGTAATTTTCTTTACACACCGATAAAAACTTTTTATTTTTCACTTTCGTATCGCGAGATCTGCCCTCGCGTCGAATGTAACTAATATATTATACGACCAATCGTTTACGCAGACTTAGCATAAACAATGCCCGTTATTGGTGCTGCATCTCCGCGTCCGAATTCAATCGCGTACGGCTATTTTTTCGTTTTTGTTTTCTTCCTTTTTTTGCTCTAATCCGAATTCTTCCATTAAAATACAATTGAAAGACGTATAAATAGAATCGATTCTCTTTTTGTGTGTGTGTGTGTGTGTGTGTGTGTGTGTGTGTGTGTGTGTGTGTTTGGATAACAAAAAAAAACTTTAGCACCGAGCTATTAAAAAAGAGTAAGGTTTTTTTTTACGAGAGCTCGAAGAGAGAAGAATTTACGAAGAGTCGAGGGAATTTTTTTTCGTCCGTTTCTCGCAACAAATATAGAGATAAAAATTGTTGAAGAAACTTTTTGGACCGTTTGTAAAATACACACATATACCAAACGAGGCGAAACTTCGTACAGTTTCCATCGTACAAATACAGACGCGCGTATGCATAATTTCCCAATATGTACATTTTAACCACAATACAGAGCTGCGAGATTACTGATTTTTCGATCCGTGTCTCAAACCCGACTGAATTCGATGCGTAAAAATAGACAGAAAAAGAGTCGAAACAATATGAAAAAAGAAAAAAATTCCACGCTCGAATTAACAGAGCTGCAAACAAAGTCGTCGAGCGAGTTGTCATCGCGGATCAACTGTTATGCGATTGAATTAAAAAAAAAAAATAAATAAATAAATAATACACCCACGCAAACGGTCGTCGTTCGACCGAGACACATATATAGTAGTGCACGAAGAGAAGTACACGGATAAGGAAATAAAAAAACAAAAAGGGAGAGTTTTGTCGTGTATGGATATCGTCGACACATTTTCACACGAAACATCAAGGGCGCGACATATTGGTTATGAGTATAAGGTGCGAACCGATATTTTCACAATGTATACACACACACACACATGTAACGTATATAAACACGATGCGCAGATAGGCGCGCGCGCGCGAAAGAGGAGAAGAGAGAAGAGTTTTGAGGGTCAAAGTCCCATATATGTTCCTATATATAAAAGTGCTTCTCCATCGGCACAGTAGCAGCGAGAGCTTGTGTGCATTTAGCTCTCTCTGTATCCCCCATCTGTGTCAAGATCAGTCGGCCAGAACCGGCCTATATAGACACACACACACATGTGTGTGTACATGCATCGAACGCTGTACAAATACGTATATAGCACACGCAGACACACACACATGTGTAGGCGCCTCCGCCAATGTATTTACGGCGTTCGTGACGAGCAAGAGCAAAATTTCTCTCTTATACACACACGCATACATAGATACACGGGCGGGCTCGAAAGCTCTGTCGCTCGCGGTGAAAGAAAACACGTGCACAGCAGCTCGAGGCTCGAAGACTATATAGGACGGATTACGTGTAGCTATACTATTACCATTGCTGCTGCTGCTGCTGCTGCTGCTGCTGCTGCTGCGTTCAAAATATTTACGAAAATTCACCTAGCGCGCTTAGGTGTACGTATACTAAAATTACGTTGTGCACATAGAGTGCCGCTGGGGCGCGATTGAATTTCGAATCATACGCATGGCACGCGCTTCGAGCTTTATATTATGCCTGTATTACAATAAAATCGATACACGCGCTCCGACCTATATATATATGGATATACGATTGTAACGACGACAAAAAACGAGAGTAAAGTGAAATATTTACCGAGTGGCGTTTGCCTGTGTGTGTGTGTGTGTGTGAGGGAAGGGGTGTGGGTAAAGCTCCGCCGATATCGATGAAATTCATTGTGGTCAGCAGTGTGTGCGACTGATATCGCGTTATTATATACACTTTTATATAGATGTGTATGTATCCGTATATATCGACACTGCACAACTGCGGTTCGCAGTTTGTTTCCTTTTTTTTTCTCCTCCTCCCTTTTTATTTTATTTCATTTTATTTTATTTTATTTTATTATCTCATCCCCCTTTGCTCGCGCAGAGAGAGAGAGAGAGAGAGAGCTGTTACGTGGTTAAAAATATCGATATAGAGAGTGGAGTGCAACAGCGGCAACCACTAACTACACAAAATCAATTTCTCAATTGCTCGAGATCGCGCGGAGCGATGAATATAAAAAATAATCATCGTCGGGTCAAAGGTAAAAAGATTTTCCTTGCCAAGTAGTCGAGAACGATGTTTCATCGACGTGGACTTGGGAAGGGTTGAGATATAGATAATCTCAAGAGCTTTGCGTCGGGGACAAAGCATACAGATACGTTCTACGGTAATTTTCAATTTTTATCATTGTCTTTTTTTTCTCTTACCGAAGCTGAGCAGGCCGCTGTTGAGCATGGTCAGCCTGATGTGGGCCGGTATCGAGGCCAGACTGATGCCCGACTTGAGCGTGCCGCTGTTGGCCCGCTTGCGGGCCGGCTTCTCCGGCTGGCGGGGCGCGCTACGACTGCGATGATGATGACGTTGCTGCGCGGTGCTCCGATGATGATGATGATGTTGATGATGATGGGCGCCGGATGAGGTCAGGTGCTCGGCCTGGCCCGTCGTAGTGCCCGTCGTCATCATCGTCGTCTGGCTGCCGGCGGACGCGGCGCCGCCCAGCGTCTGCAGCTCCATCGGCGTCGACTGGGCCCTCGCCGAGGAATTCATGTTGACGCCGATGTCGTCTCTGCCTCTCTCTTGTTACGTTGTTGCGTAATTTTTTTTTTCCTTTCTTTCTTAATTATACTGCAACACGATCGTCGTGTAAGAAGTTGTGATACACGTATATATGCGTGGACGCATGCAGATGAGATGGTGATGTCCATGAGCTCTACTCGTGCAAAATTTTCAAGCTCGCGCACGTGTCTACAGCCTACTAATACTACCACTACTAGTACGACTACGACTATAAAAACACCAACACACAAACACATATATATATAAAAGACGAGCTCTCGTCGGACTCGGTTGCCAGCTGGCACGACAACGCGGCTACACACACAATATTATAATGCGTTTAAGGTGTGCGTTATTTAGGCATGAGGGGGAAAGAGAGAGAGAGATGAGAAACTCGAGCGTGCACACGAGCGTTCGTTTAACCTCAGAGCTTGCAAGCTCGTCGTCGTCGTCGTCGTGTGCTTTATATACGAGTATATTTTATCATTATTATTATTATTATTATTATACACTACTACCGCTACACACGCGAGCTCTCTCTCTCTTTTTCTCGTCGCGGCCGAGGTCGCGACAATGAGGTGCGATAACCTTTTGGCTGCGGCGGCGACACACCCGACGACTCGAGCTTTTTTCGTCGTTTAACCGTTGGTACGTATTATATATAGAGAGAGCGGCTATTAACATTATAACGTTTTAACTAGGAAGTAATTTTCGACCGACTAGAGTATTTTATTGTATATTATGTAGTAGGCTCGACACTTTTTTTTTCTTCCTTTTTATTTGGTAATAAATTGCTTTGCGAATTGTAACAAATTTATACAGTGAATACAGCGAGGAAAAGCTCGACTCGATTTGTCTCGATCGCGGCGGGTGGTTGAGCGATAACGAGTAGCAAAAAAAAAAAATTACTTAGTGCCTGGGGATAAGGGAATGAAAAACGGGATAGTTTTATTTTTTTTGTTTTTATAATGATTAAATCGTTAACGTGCGTACAAACAACATGCGTATTAATGTTATCACATGCGCGCAAGCTACTATAATAAAACGGCTTGTCGAAGATTCACAGAGAGAGAGAGAGAGAGAAGAGGATTCGAAATTTTACTCGGTATATAAGGATTATATACTTATGAGAGGCAGGGAAAACTTTAATACGGCGAGCGAGTGTGTTCGCAGCTCGTTCTTGCGCCCATCCATCCACCCACCCACTGCTGCTGCTGCTGCTGCTGCAGTTTTACACGCGAAGACGTGGGTCGGTAAATATTCGCTCTCTCACTGACTTTCTCTCTCTCTCTCTCGGTAAATTTATAGAATCAACTAATGGGGCAACGCCGTAAAAGACGCGTTTAATCAGTTCAAGTGCGCGCGCACACAAGACGGATCGTTTGAATATTTTCATGACTAAGTAGGGCTTATGATTTTCAATTTTGTTTCATTCTTTTTTTTTATTATTTTATCGGCGAAACTTTGAATTCAGAATTCATGAATTAGTTATTATACTTTGAAACTTTGTTAAGAAAATCGATTCGTTTAGTAGAGCACAAAGAAGAAAATCGGGTTTTCAACACCTTGCTTCGACTTATACGATTATTTCGACGTTACCACTTGCAGAATTTTAAGAATGAAGGTACACGCCATCTAGTGGCAGAAACTCAAAGTGGGATAACGAGTGGTTGAAAACTGGTCTACATTCTTTGAAACGATAAAACTGTAATTGTCAGGTCAATTTAAAAATACGCATAAGTGTAGCCAATCCAACCAATTTTTGACCTTATATACTCTCAAATTCTTCATCATTTGTATCAAATGCGTATCGCACGAGGAAAAACATGACAACGAAAATCGACGATTCGCTACATCGATGTAATCCCATACTCGCGGACACGAGGGCTCAGTACCTGCGCGCGATTCATAAACTTTATCAATTATTCAATCCGACGATACGTGCGTCTGCATTATGTACTCGCGCGGTATATAGATGACATGCATAACGCAACACACATCATACGCGCAAGCTCAATTATGCAGATTCAAGCAGCTCTCCGTATTAACATCGGCTCCTATGTATTATTATTATTATTATCATTATTATCGTTATCATTACGTGCCTGGCGCGCTCGAATATATAAACGAACAACCTTGACCGGCCTCGGGGATGGCAGCTGCGTAAATCGAAAACCGAGGTGGACCCTATACTTTTTGCGAAAAAAATTTTTGCGCATCGAAAATCGATCGTCGAAGCCGATGCGATTCCAGTGCTGTGCTGGGCACGCACATATGCATTCGATCCGCGTCGTCTCGTTTTTCCTCGATACGTAAAGTGTAAGAGAAAACCTCCGTTTAATGAATTACACGATGCGATGCAATGTGCGTAGTCGAAATCGCGTAATTCAAAATTCAAATTTAGCAGCCACGTAATATTGATACTCGATTTAAGGGGAAAAATGTGCTCTTTGTTAAGGGGACCAACCTGTGTTGAAAGCTTAAATTCAGCTTCAGCTAAAAATAGCTATATGAATCGAAATAGTGGAAATTTTTTTTTTGTGATAGTAAAATATGTTCATTCTACACCAGATTGACCAAAAATAACTTCTACCCTAGCTCTGAAATACCAATTACATCACTTTTTTCATAAGACGAAATATTGTGTTATAAATCACTTGCCGCACGATCTTGAAAAGAGTTTTTCATCAATATTGATCTATGGGGTCTCAAAATCTTCAGAAAAGTACTCTCGTCCACCTAAGCGGAGCAGAATTTTGAAAAATTGCGTACAACTTTATATACACGTCAAAATGTGCCAATTTTTGAGAAAATTAGTATTTTATCAACACTAGAAGCCATATTAAAGCTCTTGGAAGGAAAACAAACTTTTTTTTTCAAACTCTGCTCCGCTTAAGTGGATGAGGGTACTTTTCTGAAGATTTTGAAACCCCATAGATCAATATTGATGAAAAGCTCACGTCAGAATCGCGTGGCAAGTGAATCCTATTATAATATTAAGTATTATGAAAAAATAAGCGTAATTGGCATTTCAGAGCTTGGATAGAATTTTTTTTTTTGGTCAATCAGGTGTCTAATAAACATATTTACGATTACAAAAAAAAAATTTCCACTGTTTCGATTTATATAGCTATTTTTTGAATCTAAGCTTTTAACACAGGTCGGTCCCCTTAAGAAAAATCAGAAAAACTATACCACTATTGAGATTTTTTTTAAATGCGATTTTTTTCTCAAATACGCTGCTTTCGAGACGGTCGAATTTCAAAGTTTGCGTCATGTTTTTTCGGTGAAAATATAAACAATATTGGATAATTCTGAGGGTAGCATCAGATAGCCTTTTAAATAAAAATCAAGGTCTCATTTGTTCCATTTGTTTAATATATAGTTATAGATACATAAATTATTGCTATAACTTTGCTGTTTCTCTTGTGATTTTCGCGACTTCGAGCATCTTGCCGTCCAGCGGCAACTTTAGGTACCATTATACGATGTCACGCTCGCTATAATAACAAGGCTTATCAAGACGCCTCAAAAAAGATTTGCAACTTTATAAAGTATTTCGATCTCATACTTCAAAAAGAAATTGTATTTTGGCGACATTTTCTTCGAGTTATCTGATTTTCACTGTATTAAACGCCTACGTTCATCACAAGCGTAATGAATCGGACCAAAAAAAAATAAATAAATAAATAAAAATAACGAAGTAAAGCGTTATGAGGAGCACGAGCGAAGGACGAATTCCAAGCGAAATAATTCAGCTGCATTCGCTGCAGCTCCGATAGTTACTATGTATTATATATGTGTGTGCGCGCTAAATGCATATATACATGTATGTGTATGGGAGAATTTCAAGTATCCCCTTCGTGATCGTGTGTGCGTGTGTGTGTGTGCCTCATATACATACGTATTATACACGATGCTGATGATGATGTATATATTATTACGCGACGCTTCAGACATCAAATGGAGAGAGAGAAGCGCCCGCCACAAAGGAATAGCCCATTGCATAATCTATATCCGTTTTGTGCGAGTGTGCGTCTGTGTGGATAATATATGAAACGGAACACATTTCGTTCTGGCCTTAATTGCGATGTAATTCGCGCGGGGGCCGCGCGCGCGGCTCGTGAATTATTATATAGATTTTCATTATATATCCGCTGATCGCCGTATATATACACATCCGTCCAGCGATCGTGACGCAATCGATCCGAATGTTACATGTTATATTCGGCATTTTCGACATGATTAATCGTCGTTATCGTCGTCGTCTCGAAATCGAGCCTCGGAAAAGTTCATGGCTCGATTAAAAGCCAATATATGTGTGTGTGTGCGGTCGTAATTTCATGCCGCAGTTTGACACGACGACGACGACGACGACGGGGCTTCGTTAGTGGCGCGATTCACGTATAAAATAATAGCAGAGAGAAGCTGTAGAAAGGATATATACCGAAAAATCGATCGGATATGCCCCGCTGCGAGCTGTATTATTAAATAATATATTCTAGAGCAAACAGAAAAAATCGCTAATTATACACGAGGCGAGATCGCGCTCGGAGCGGAAGAAAAAACACGCGCGTATCCGAATGAACGAAATAAATTTAGAATCATTTTCTATCGTCGCGCCTTGTTTTTGCTCTCTCTCTCTCTCTCTCACTCTCTCGAGCGGAGCTTTCATTGTCGAGCGCAATGATTAATTTTATTTTCCTTTTTCTTTCTTTACAAAACACTGCGCCCACCAAAGTACTGTTGTACATTTAAATATTTGATAATATCGTGAGCGCAGTCCACCGGCTCGCTCGACCGAACGAGATTCGAAAAATATATAACTACACGCGAAACGGCGCGTAGTGCTTCGAAAATAACATTTAAATAGCATTTATGTGTGCTGTATGTGTGTGTATGCGAACCTTGACGGCTCACAGTGTCGCCTTGACTCTCGCGTGGCTCTCATTCTCTCTCACTCTTGGCTTTGCCATCAGAAAATGCGACACAAACGCGTGCGAGATAGATCGAGCTTGCGGTGCGTAGAGATTCTTCGATTACAGAATCGAACTAATCGCTGAAATCGA